CCCTTAATCATGATTTCTTTCAAATACTTTTTATGTAATTTTTATTTATTTGAATTAATTTATGCTGAAGATCAAATTGAAAGGAGAGTCATGCACCTAATCTTTTATATCCAATCAACTATGAAAAATGATTTAGTAAATGATTTCTAAACTATAACTTTCACAATCACACCTTTGAAGTAGTTTTTGGCCATTAAGAAGTTGGGGATCAATTCAAACATGCACCGAATTACTACAACTGGTCCTTTTTTTTTTTCTTCACGTCCTTTTAAAATATATTTATTAAAAAGGCCATTTGTTCAATTTATTCTTATTTATTTTATTTTTTTCTTTTCACCATATTAATTTATCTTTATATTTTATTGAGTTAAAATAAAAGTGGAAGCTAACATTCCATTCATTTCAATTTATTCGACTATTTTTCGTTTTAATCTATTTCTCTTTTCCCTTTTAACAACTTATCTTTCCGCATGACATATTTAAGATCACAAGATTAAAAAATATTTAATATATTTAACATATTTTTAACCTAAGACCACAAAATTCAAAGTTCTTTTTACTTTCTTAAACTCTATATCAAGTTAAACATAAAACCAAAAAAATTGAAACGTAACGAAGGAAATAATTAACAACTATTTTGGATCATAAAAACGACAAGTAAAACAGATCGAAGGATTTAAATTTAAGAGGAACAGTAAACGCGGCAAGAAGGTTCTTTTGGTCTTCATTTTCTGTTGATCATTCCATTTTCTCAATATTTTTGACTTCGATCCATTCCCAACTCTAATGTTTATTGCTCCAACATTATATTTTCAAAGACCAACTTTATTTTCCCCTACCCCACCCCCCAACTCCCCATGGGGGTGGATTTTTGAGTTCAAAATCTTAAAATAACAGTTAAATGGACATGTTATTATAAGTTATTAGTTTGAAATAGTCAACAATTAGACTTGCTTACTTATACTATAATTCCCTTGACCAAAGACTGGTCTAACCAAACTATTCTTCAGTCAAACTTTCTCCATTCCCTTTGTTACTATCAATTTATTTTCATCCCCTTTATATATAATCTCTTCTTTACATTCAAAATCACAAATTCTTGTATGGTTAACCAACAACTCCTATTATACTCTGTCTCTCCCCTGTCTTGTATTATTTCACGTTCGAGTTAATTTCTCAAATGGACAATTACGCAGCTGACAATAATAGTCATGAGTTTAATAGACTTGTAAGTGAATTAACTCAAGGAAGGGATCTTGTTCAACAGCTCCAACTTCATCTTAATGCTCCTAATTATAATTCATCGTCTAATTCGTCCGAAAACACTAGGGAATTCTTGATTCAGAATATCCAGTCCAAATTTGATAGGGCTCTGTCCTTGCTACAATATAATACTACTGGAGATAATTCTAATTCATTACTAGCACATTCTAGTTCCCCTGCTATTCCGATTATTGGAATGTCTGATTCTCCGCGATCAAGTGAAGATTCTGATCGTGATCGTGATCTTGAGCCTAAAGATCATCATGCTACACGCAAGAGGTTTATAATTTTTTTTTCTTCTTATAATTAAATTTTTCACGTATGATCACTAAACTTATAATGTTACAGAAAGAGCAGTACACCGCGTTGGACAAAGCAAGTTCAAATTCATCCAGGGGCGTCAATTGAAGGGACTCTTGATGATGGTTATAGTTGGAGAAAATATGGACAGAAAGATATCCTTGGTGCTAAACATCCAAGGTAACGTACATATTAAGATTAAAATGTTTGAATCTATATATACTTAAAACATTTATGTACTTATATTTTTTGTTTGTTAAATGCAGAGGTTATTACAGATGCACACTTCGACATGTCCAAGGTTGTTTGGCTACGAAACAAGTTCAAAGATCCGATGCAGATCCCACCATTTTCGAAGTCACGTATCGAGGAAGGCACACTTGTAATCAAGGTGGTGGTGCTAGTGTCAGTAATGTGAATCCAGCACCACCACCTTTGCCCGTAGCAATACATCAAATTCAAGTACCAAACATAGGAAATCACGAACAATATCAACAACTAATCCCTACCCCACATCAAAACTCGAATGAAATTCTCCTGAATTTTCAAAAAAACCTTAGTATCTCCAAAGACGACTTCAACTTCAATAGTACTCACCATGATCATCCTAACAATGTGCCATATATACCCTCGTTTAATAATTACCCTTCATCGTCGTCCCACGATCATCAAGATTACAACTTTTTGACTAATTCATCCACAATTCCAAACAACAACTTTGTGGAGAATTTTCCCCCTTCCTTTAATAACATGTCTGCAGGAACTTCTCAGCAAAATGAAGCAGATTACCAATTTAACTCAATGGGATTTGAATCAAACTTCCCATTTGATTATCAGAGATTCTCTTAATTCCTAATTAATCTTCTAAGAAAGTAACTTAATTAACTCAATATCATGATGAATCAAGGACAATTTTGCAACCAATTTGTTACTAGGAAGCAAGGCATTAGCACTTAATTAGATGTTTTAGTTTAACCATTTGCTAATAATGATGATGATATCTATTTTGTTTTCATGTGGTCATCTTTAATTGTTGTAGTCTCGGAATTAATATGTATCACAAGCTTTCAAGTTTTGTAACATCTTTTAATCATTTGCAAAGGGCCAAAAAATGCCCTTCAACTATTGAAAAATAGAGTAATTTGATCTTAAATATGTCTTTGTCGTTATTGGAATGACTCATATTTGTCCTTCAAATTTATAAATATAACAAATTTGCCCTGCATTTGGGTTAGGTCTCAAATATACCCTTGTAGTTGAAGAACTTCCTCAAATTTGCCTATCAAAACTAACAAAAAACACTTTTTTTCAATCAATCCTTATATTTTAGGGTCGGATTTGTTTGGCTTCTATTAAATGCACACCTAGATTATGAGAAGTTTTAATTGTTCCTCAAATATGGATTTTCGAAACTATTTACCTTTCCTAAACTATAAGAAGTCTTAATTATCCCCTCAAAAATTATTTTTGAAACTATTTACCCTCTAATATGCCACATGGCACAAAAATATTACTCCGTCGATTTTATATAACTCACTTTTCATTTTTGTCAATTTCAAAAGGAATAACACATTTCTATATTTAGTAAAAATTTAATCTCTATTCCTACTTATATGATATAGTTTGACTTGACATGATGTTCAAAAATGTGTTCTAAATTAAGTCATAAATATCTGTGTAGCTATAAATCAGTTCATTAGGGATAGAATAGAAATTTTTAAGTTAAACTTTACTAAACATAGAAATATATCATTTCTTTTAAGATTGAATAAAAGGGAAGGTAGGTCATATAAATTGGGATGGAGTAATTTTTTTGTATAACTTACATAAATCCCATAGTGTAAGATCTAAATTACATTATATTCCTACTCTTTACTATTTTACAAAAAAATCCCTTAAAATATCAGCCATTCGGATACATAACTGGTTGTCTGAATACATTAATTGTGATACATTATATATGTGTCTATTGCACTTAATATGGAATATTAACATAAAATTGATTTTAATTCCCCCGATTCACGCAAAACTGGTTGATATCAATCCATTCCAATTTATAACAAATTCACAAAATTCAAAATAAATACCATATATATATATATATATATATATATATATATATTAACTCTATCAAAATAAATCAAATTTGAAATTTAATAGATTAGATGAAAATGTTTGTTTGATTACGTAGTTTTTTAATAAAATAAAGGAAAAACGGTCTTATTAGACATACATTTATATATATTAACTCTATCTATATATACTTTCAAATAGTTACGTATTTTACCATTAATTAAGAGTTTTCTACCATATATTGAGGAAAATACATCTAGATATATGTAGTTTTGCTACCATATACACTAAAATAGGGAGAGAAGCAAGGGAGATGGGAAGGAAGATAGTCATGTGTCCTAGATACATGTGAGTCACACTAGATACATATATTTGTATCTATCTTGTGTGATTCACATGTATTTAGGATGTCATCTACATAGGAGAGTAGCGAGCGAGATGGGAGGGAGGCAAGGGAGATTTGTCTATGTATCCCAGTTACATGTGAATTCACTTTGGTACAATGTATCCAGAATAAATCACAACTAATTTTGATCACATATATCCCGAAATACATGTATCTAGACGTATCCAGACATATCAAAATCTAATAAGATTCATAATATTGCAAACTAAAGTAAGTAATTCGCTCCTAAACTTATGAAATTTCTTTATTTTGGGAATTGCTTGTATCCAATGAAATCCAGCAGAAGTGCCAAACAGGCCAAGTCTATGAAGTATCTTAAGAGGAATACATAATTGGGCCTGTCATCTGGATCTACTTGGGCTTGGGTCTAAGCTAATTGGGAATATACGTGCAGAAATCAATATGGCCCCATATAAATCGGAGCCGTTTTCTATTAAAAATAAATAAGTATAACTTAAATAAATCCCAGAAATTACAATTTATCTCTCATTAGTTTGTAATTACATTAATTTCTTAAAAAGTAACACAAAGCGGATACATTAAAGAGTAGTTTGGATACATTATAACATAAATTGGATACATAATATGTAGCTCGAATACATTATAAAATAAATTGAATACATAATATGTAGCTCGAATACATTAATATGTAGCTCGAATACATTAAAGAAATAAGATATTTTAGAAGTTGTTAGAAATAGAAGAAGATATTAAAAATAAAAAAAACATAAGTCGTGTATTTTAGTAATTTTTTCAATAAATAAATTGAACCGACAATGAATAAACCCGAATAACATAACGTCTGTTGGCAACGAATGCCAAGGGCGAAAATTTGTTCCCGCAAACAAACGCAGCGCAGCAGAGCTTTTCACTCCTTTGCTCTGCCAAATTTAATTTTGTGGACATGGTAGAACCAGATTCTTCAAATTTCAGTCTCCTTCGGTAATCCTCTCTCTATCTATATTCAAATTTACTTTACTCGTTGAAGAAATTAGCTCCATTTTTCTTGAATTTTCCCATGAATCTAACGCAAAAATCAATTAAATCTACTTGTTCAAATGGAGAATTACTTATTAGTTTCAAGAATCTTCATTCAAGACTGAATTTTTCATCATCAAATTGTGTCCAAATTCTAACAGATTATAGTGGGTCTGCCAGACCCTTTTCAAACCCTCTGCATAACTTTCTACCTAAAACCCAAAACCCCCAAAACACAGTGAGTCTGATATGTTCAGCTCTAAAGAACAGAAACAATGACCATTTGTCCCTCCTTCAGAAAACCATCCAAGATAATGGGCTTATTAGTTATTTCAGTGACAGTGAAATCTCAAGGGTCCTGTTGAGATGCCAGTCTGATTCATGTAGTGCTCTTAGTTTCTTTAACTGGGTCAAGAATGATTTGGGTGTGGAGCCTAACACTCAAAACTACTGTCTTGTAATTCATATACTGACTTGGACAAGGAACTTTTCACAAGCAATGAAATTTTTGTCTGAATTGGTTGATTTGAAGAGAGATGGAATGGAGAGTGTGGATGTGTTTGAAAGTTTGCTTTCATCTAGTGGTTTGTGTAATTGGGACCCTGTTGTGTTTGATATGCTAATTAAGGCTTTTCTCAAGGTGAACATGGTGAAAGATGGATTTAGAGCGTTTAGGAAGACGGTGAAGCATGGAATGTACCCGAGTGTTATTACTGTGAACTGTCTTTTAACTGGTCTTTCAAAGTTGAATTATAGCAAAAAATGTTGGGAAGTTTATGCTGAAATGGAAAGAATTGGAGTGCACCCGAATTCGTGTACCTTTAATATATTAACCCATGTCTTGTGCAAGGATGAAGATGTGAACACGGTTAATGAATTCTTGGAGAAAATGGAAGAAGAAGGGTTTCAACCTGATATAGTTACATATAATACTTTAGTTAGTAGCTATTGTAGGAAAGGAAGACTGAAAGATGCAGTTCACTTGTATCAAATTATGTACATTAGAGATGTATCACCAGATTTGTTCACATATACTTCTTTGATAAATGGCTTTTGTAAAAAGGGAAATGTGAAAGATGCTCATCAGTTGTTTATAAGGATGGCTGACAGAGGGTTAAAACCAGATGTTATTTTGTATAACACTCTTATTTCTGGTTATTGCAAAGAGGGGATGATGCAAGAGGCACGTTTTCTGTTGCATGACATGATTGGAGAAGGGATGCATCCTGATAAGTTCACTTGTACAGTTCTTGTACAAGGATATCAAAAACAGGATAATTTGGTTTCAGCTGTGAATTTAGTCACCGAGCTTCAAAGATTTAGATTTGTAGTATCTCATGATATATACAATTATCTTATTGCTGCACTTTGTATTGAGAATCGACCATTTGTAGCCAAAGCTCTAATTGATCGAGTATCTGGCGACAGATATGAGCCTGGCAATATGGTCTACGGGGAGTTGATTGAATCTTTCTGCAGATGCAATTTCCCCGATGAGGCTTCATGCTTAAAAGCAGAGATGGTATCAAAAGATTTGAAGCCTGATATTGGTACATATAGAGCTATAATTAAATGTTTGTGTAAATTAGGCCGAAGCATGGATGCCAACTCCTTGATGAGAGAAATGACTGATTGTGATGTGCCACCTGATATTGAAGTCTGTAGAGCTTTAATAAATGGTCATTGTGGGGAGAACAATTTCTGTGAGGCTCAATCGCTGTTAAGCTTCTTTGCTCAAGAATTTAAAATATTTGACACAGTTTGTTACAACACAATTGTCAGGCTTCTAAGTGGTAAAGGTGATATTGCAAAATTGATGAAATTTCAAGATAAAATGAGGAAAGTGGGTTTTGCGCCAAATCAGCTGACATGCAAGTACGTTATTGATGGATTACAGAAAGCCGTGGGAGTCCACAAAATCAACAGCTGAGTGCAGTAATGAGGTATACATTTTACATTGGGTCTTCTCATCTGGTGAATCATTCTTAAATCAATTATGAGGAAAAGACTTGACATTGATACTAATGCATGAAACCAATTAAAAAAAATACTAATGCATGAAATCTTATCTTGTTATGTTGAGCCAAACTCCGGTTTTAAAAATATTGGAATCCTGCTGGGTGATAACTGATTGCAGTAGTGTCTAGGAAGCATTTTGTTAAAGAAATAATTCCCCTTTCCTCTGAAAAATACTGCTTCACATTAGATGCATTTATTTGGAGAAATCTTGTGAAAAATAATTATGTTCTAGTTGCCTATGGTTCCTTTGCCTTTACTTTTGTTTCAAGATTGTACAAGAACTCCAATGTACAAAAACTACGTTCATTTTCTGAAGCAATTACCCCTACTTAATTACTTCTATATTAGGGATATATTCGGAGACCTCTCCCCACGTTTGGCTTCTTCACGATAACCTCCCTTGTTGTTTATGATATTAAGCTTACCTCTCCTGTTTTGAATTTTTTTGCAATAATTGTTTTAGTATATTTTATTATCAATGCAAAGATATGGTGGTCTGAATTAATTTTCCCTTCTAATATACTCTTTTGTTGAATTAATTTTTTTTCCTTCTTCATATCTGTTACTTCAAAAAAATATCAAAGTGCTATTCTAAAATCGCTGAATTTGATTTCACAAAATAGATCTCCACGATCTTCGACTTCCTAAATCTATGTATTGCATTTACCTAAGCCAAAAAGTTGCCTCAAAGGCATTCCTCTTGCCACCACATCAATTTGCCCAAATCTCTCACCTTTACAAACCATTTCATTATGAATTGCAAAGTGCTCTACAATAGCCATTACTTTCCAAAGTGAGAAGCCAAGTTAGCTGCTCATGTAGTGTTTGTTCCTGTGGTCCTGCTAATTTCGGAGACAACATGAGTTGCATCAAAGGATGAGGTTGTTATTCATTTACGTGTTGTGACAACTCATACAAACAATAGTTACTAAAAGAACGAACTACCATATAAACAAATTTTTTGCATTCCAAATGAAATGTATAAGTAGGCCTTTATATCGCAGTTTCTATTTCAAAGTCTGCATCATGACAGCATTACATATTTTGTAGTGTCGGTCCAGATGGTCATTCAGAGAACTCTCCGAATGTAATATCTTTTTCTTTGGGCAGTTCAGTCTTTGGTGGCAATGATTTTCTCCGTTAAGATGACATTGCTGCAGTGGATCTCAAATGACTTTAGCTTCTTTACTGAAAGGTGCTTGGATTCACACATCTTGAGATTGGACACGGAGCTTCTTGATCTTGACGTTTCAGAAATAGAGGATCAATCACTTCAGGGTACAGGGTTATGAAATATGAAGCTATATTACTTGCAGAAGGATTAACATTGGTTTCTGTTAGAGTTGAACTTAAGATCCTCAGTACTAGAACCACAGATCAAGTTTGAATTATATGCTAACTGGTTCTTTGTGTTTTGTTTTCAGCTGTATTATGGTTCCTTCATGGCTGACCTAAATTTGGTAAGAAAAGTTCCGTTCTAAGTTCATCTCTACCTAATTTGCCTCACTGCCTTTTTACCTTCGTCTTTTCTGAATTTGAACAAAATTTTTGATAAACAAATGAAGGTTGAATCATCAGACTGTGTGTTATTGCTGTATTATGTTTAAGCTAGTTTATACAAGAAGCCTAACATGTATGTCAATATGGTTCATATAGACAAGGGAATTATTTCATAGAAGTCCTCTAATGTAATTTCAATTTAACTAGCTAAAAGCACTCTTAGCGCCTGAGTATCTGGTCCACACTTGTGAATTCAATAAGACAGAATAATCTAAATTGTCTTTATTAGCTAGTGTTGTTTGGAACAAATAATGTACAAAGTTTATTGTGATAAGTAGTATTTCTGACATGTTGTCAGCATATGCTCAAATTTCAGGAATTATAAGTGGCTGGCTAAAGAAGGTGTCAATTCTCAAAGGTCAGATCCTGCTTCCATAGTATTGGAGCTCACCTGTATTTTCCAGTTAATTGTGAAGATTTCTGTTAATATCAAAAGCACCGACCTTTGCTGCTATGAATTGGTTCTAATACAAGGGAGGAAACAATGAAAAGCTTCTCCAGATTTAAAGTTGGTTTTTGACATGCAGATGCACATATGGGGTGGTAGAACTTCCTTTAAGATTTTCCTTTGTCAGGGATCTCATTCAGCCTCTCTATCTTCACAAGGTAGGATAAGGCTGCGTAGATCCTACCTGTGGGATTACACCGGATATGTTGTTGTAGGGATCTCATCTCATAACAAGACCCTGTACCCTGCTGTTCAAGAGTTTATACATTGTTGAAGCTAATGTATCTGTCTGCTTATATAAGATGCTTCTTATCCTTTCATATCTCTTCTTTTAACCTATCACAAATTTGCTTTCTCTTTGTCTATACTTATTATTTTCTTTATTACATTCTTTTATAGAATACTATGGAAGCAAAGAAACCTTAGGTGTCATGAGAATATTACTAACACTATTCAATAGAAGGTTAAAGAAAATTGCATTAACATGTTGTATTTTTGGTGTAAAGAAGATGGTATAGAAGAAGTAGAACAATTGGTAGATTTCCTAGGATCTATGTAATTATGGAAATAGCTTGTAACTTTTTGGAGGTAGCCAGTACTGAAGAATACAACTTTACCTTTATCAAAAAAATTAATAAAAAATCTATGAATGCAACACTAATTAGTTGGGACCTGGCCTATTTGTCTTTGTTAAACTTAGATTAGGCCTGGACATGGATAATTGTAAGACTTAGAGATCCACAAGCTTTATGAAACCCCAAATTTGTGTTAAAAGGCAAAACATTAGAGTCTTGTAACTCTTGTTACTGATATAAGGTTGATACTGGTTCCTGATAAAGGTATATAGAGGATTCGTAGCCTACTCTATCTAGGTTGTGGTTGAAGCATAGTAGCTTGATTGATTTGTCTTCTTTCTCTTTTCAATCCAAGATACAATTTGATCCGTCTTCTGGTTTATTTTCCTCATCCTTTTACCTGGTCTTCCTCATTTTCAGAAACTCCTGTACCTCAAGAATTTACCCCAATTATGACTAACTGCAGGATATTTGAGATTTGGGCCTAATCACTGCTATTGCACTTCTTGTTTAAGGTTGATACTTTATATACTGACCCATAAATGATATTAAAGGCAATATTCTATTTCTATAGGCTTCCATAGCTGCATCCGTGCTCTACAAACCACATTAGGGGTGTGTCATCAGGTTGTCATCTGTTTTTGTCAGCCATTCAGCTGATAGTCTTACCTGTTGATGGAAAATCTGCCAAAGCCCTTGGTCAACTGAGTTCTTAAATTGGGCTAGGAGGTTCAGTACTATGAAATTTCCGGTACAAGTGGAATAAGCGGATGACCCCTTAGCTCTCACTTGGGTGAATGTAATCGTTTACTTTAATGACACAAGTGATTTCTCAAGATACTTAAGTAGTAAGTTCTATTAGTTACCAGTTATCGAATCCCATCTTACAAAGATTTTTCTTTGAAACTGGTAACAGGACCCACCTTACATAAACTTTTCATTTGTCTTGATATATTATGTGTCAAACAGGTGTAACGTGTGTTTTGGTACTTCATAAAGATCCTTAAAAGTATACTAAAAGTTGAACTTATGTGACCAAATTCTTACCTGGTACGTACTTGTATGCAAGTTCACAGCAACATAGGTTGAAGCCCAAGTTTTTTAATGTTTAGTTCTCTAGTTTGTGGAACAGGGACAACAACAAATGCTCTTCACAAAATGTATATCTTAAGTTGAAGGCTTTTGTATCAAGCACTATAATAAACCTTAAAAGGTAGTCTCTTACAACTTACAAGCATAGTGACAATTATTTTTTAGCACAAGAAATATTAGTTACAAATTTTTAGAAAAAAAGGTGATAATTAAGTAATAACTTCACGAAAATATTTATAATAGACTTTTATATTCATCATTATGGGGTCTAACCTTCTGCTAACACTCATTTATGGAAGTGATAATAGTAGCTGCATCCTTGGGACATGGTTAAGTCCGAGACTCGTTCATCAGATCAAGCTAGATCTCCTTATGTTATAACACTTGAGTTGAAATCTATAATATTCAAACAATTGACTTCCTGCACATGATTGTGGTCTTTGGCAGACTATTCTTTAAGTTATGAGAATCTAAAAGTGTCTCAATTTTCAATCAAATCATACAGGTCTATTGCCTTTGATAAGTGTTTGGTCTGACAGTAGCAGAGAAGTTAGGCAGTAAAAATTTGAGGATACTTGATATGTCATTGGGTTTATCCATTCCAACAGACAGAAGTTAGAATTGAACAGAAAATGAGTGTTGACGGAATCAGTTTAAATAGTTGCATTTCTATGAAATTACCTCTGCTTGTCACATTTCTATGGAGTTGTTATTCAGAAGTATTCAGCGTTTAGCTGTTCATTTTTGGGTTTTCAAGATAGGTATCTCGCTTGTGTTTCTTCTGAATGCGCATAGGAGTTAGTAGTTAGTACTACAACAGCTGTCGATGTTAGAGTGCTTAATAGTTCTGGATTTGTTCAATAATCTAGTTTTATGAGAATTAGAGTCTTTTAATATGTTGTTTAGATGGAGAAATATGAAAAAAAAAAATTGTCCCTCTGTTTAGTAGGGTAAGTTTATTGAGGTTTCACTATCTTTGCTTTAGGGACCTGAAATTCAAGACATTCCTGCTATATGGTGTGGGGTTAGAAATGGGAGCTTGGAATTACATGATGCCAACCACCTCAATTACTCACTAGTCACCATCACCTAAAGCCTGAAGGAAACCCTCATTGGGATTACCTCTCTAGGTAACTAAAAGAGCAGCTTCTAGAAAAGAAATTAATCATATTCTTGAGAGTACAACTTTAGCCCAAGTAGGGGCATCTTTCTTTCACATTTGCATTATTTTCTTTTTGCGTGTGACTTGGCCCTGATGAACATCAATGGTTAAAGATACATTAAATAGAAAATGAGTATGGTTTGAGTTAGACGTAGCAACTGAATAGAGAGATGTATAAATTGTTTTCTAATGCTTAAAATTGGAATTATATTTGTCAACATAAAGTGGTTGCTAGACCAATTATGTTGTATGGGACAGAGTGTTTCTTGGTCAAGAACTCACATGTCCAGAAGATGAAAGTAGCGGAAATGAGGACGTTGAGATGGATTAGTGGACATACTAGGAGAGATAGGACTAGGAATGAAGATATTTGGGACAAGGTGAAAGTGACTTATGTGGTGGAAAAGATGAGGGAGGCTAGATTGAGTTGGTTTGGGCATGTGAAGGAGATGTCCCAGTGAGAAGATGAGATGTTGGCTATGGTGGGTCTTAGGAGAGGTATAGGTAGGCCGAATAAGTATTTGAGAGAGGTGATTAGACAAAGACATGACACACATGTAGTTTACTGAGGACATGACCCAAGATAGGAGGATGTGGAGGTCAAGAATTTGGGTGAAAGGTTAATAGGTAGTCGAGCATTGTCGAGTTTTCTTTATTAGTACTCTCCTATTACCTTTTTCTTCGATTTTAATTTTTACATATTGTTTCTTTTGCTTCGTTTATCGTACTATTTGTTGTTGATGCTACTTTTCTCCATTATTTTTTATATAGTTTGTTAACTACTATATTTTCTTTTATTTGCTTTACTTGAGCCGAGGGTCTATCAAAAACCACCTATCTACCTTCACAAGGTAAGGGTAAGGCTGCATACACATCACCCTTCCCAGATTCCATGGAGATTTCAGTGCGTATGTTGTTGTTGTAAACTAACATGATGTTTACTACGTGCATTATAAGAGGTTAGAGGACAAACCAAAGACAAGAAAAAATGCATTTAAGTGTTTGTTTAAGTTGTACATCAGCTTTGTATAGTATCCTAAGAATTGGAGGGCCCAAAAGGTTCTTGCTTGGAAAAAGGGCAGTTAGTGCACTAAATTGAGATATAAGATTGGGACAAGTGACAAACAAATCTCTTTTGTATATATTTTGTTTGTGTCTTTTAAATTCAAATTGATTTGTTTATTCTTTTTTGTTGAAGAGATGAGGAAAGGGGCTTGAACCAGCAGGCATAAACACAGTCTTTCAACCGTTACAGGGAAGAATGGGGACAAGACATCCGAATGGGACATGGAAATCTATACAGCAATCAAGGTAGTACGTCCCTCTACTCCCTCACCCCTTCTTATTATTGGGTATCACAATCCCCTAAAACTCCCGAAATTTCAGCTCCAAAAATAAAATATGTTTGCCTGCGTGGATTTATGTACATATATTTTGGATTTGCTAAAGCTGTGTGGTGATTGGTTATTGATTCAAAAACAAATATAGTGAATAAATTGGGAGTAATGTCTAGCTCATACATTTCGTGGTGATCTTAAATGAGTTTGCAGATTGTGAAATGAATGAAGTTAGGAGGACCCCGCATATTTACTCTCTTTGTTTTTAAAATTTGTCCTGCTTTCTCATTTATGTTTGTGTGCAGATTGCAGTATATGCCATCTAATGCATCTCTCCATTTACCCTTTAATAATATAACATTTCATTTCCCTATTGGACTACTAAGTTTTACTTCCACTTAGACATAAAAATTTAAATAAAAGAGTAAAGGGTAGTAACCACTTCTTTTCTTGTCGGCCGCCAACTTTTGAAATAAAATTGAAATAATTTTTTAAAATGTATGAAAACTCAAATTTTGGAATTGTCAAATTTGGTGATATGCTTAATGTGTTAAGTTAGGATTACTGACATTTAATTTTGACTACATCCCACATTTAGTGTCTCGAGTTTGAGTTTTAAATGTAAAATTAGTATATTTTAAGTGTAACAATCAATTAACTGAATTTCAAACTAATTGAGGTTGTTTATATGAATCCTCTATATCCTTTGTGTTCTATTTTCATCCATTTTGATCTAAAAATGATAAATTAATGTATTTTAAGATGAGTTAGATGTTTCTTAATATAACAATTATTATTAGAGTGAGATACAATCTCAACATGACTGAGAAGAATCCAAACGATAATTCCAATTAGTTGGTGTCGCCCATGTGGATCCTTTTACTTCTAATGTTTTACTTTTAGGTTGATTTTAAAGGATTGTAATACTTTTGAGACATTTTTCTATGTGATTTTAGATTTACTTTTTTTTGTCACTTACTTATCAGCATATCGTACTTATGGACCGATTTATTTTGAGGTCGGTGTAGAAATGACAGATCATAACAAGCATTACCTTTGTCTAATGCGGTCATTATATTTCTTCGATATTGTATTTTCATATATCCATCTCAATATTTGGATTTTTTGACTCTGATCTTGTAGATGTGTTGGGC